TTCCTCCTTCTCCCCCTCCTCCTCCTCTCCCTCCTACCCCTCCTCTTCCCCCTTCTCCTCCTCCTCTTCCTCCTCCTCCTCCTCCTCCTCCTCCTCTTCCCCCTCCTCCTCCTACTCCTCTTCCTGCTCCTCCTCCTCCTCCTCTTCCTTCCTCCTTCTTCCCCCCCTCCTCCTCTCCCTCCTACTCCTCCTCTTCCCCCTTCTCCTCCTCCTCCTCCTCCGCCCCCTTATCCTGTTCCTCCTACTTCTCTTCCTCCTCCTCCTCCTCCTCCTCCTCCTCCTGCTCTCCCTCCTACTCCTCCTCTTCCGCCCCCTCCTCCTCTTCTTGCTCCTCCTCCTCCTCCTCCTCCTCCTCCTCCTCCTCTTCCAGCCCCTCCTCCTCTTCTTGCTCCTCCTCCTCCTCCTCCTCCTCCTCCTCTTCCGCCCCCTCCTCCTCTTCTTGCTCCTCCTCCTCCTCCTCCTCCTCTTCCTCCTCCTCCTCCTGTTCCTCCTCCTCCTCCTCTTCCTCCTCCTTCTCTTCTTCCTCCTCCTCTTCCTCCTCCTCCTCTTCCTTCCTCCTTCTTCCCCCCCTCCTCCTCTCCCTCCTACTCCTCCTCTTCCCCCTTCTCCTCCTCCTCCTCCTCCGCCCCCTAATCCTGTTCCTCCTACTTCTCTTCCTCCTCCTCCTCTCCCTCCTACTCCTCCTCTTCCGCCCCCTCCTCCTCTTCTTGCTCCTCCTCCTCCTCCTCCTCCTCCTCCTCCTCCTCCTCCTCCTCCTCCTCTTCCACCCCCTCCTCCTCTTCTTGCTCCTCCTCCTCCTCCTCCTCCTCCTCCTCCTCCTCCTCCTCCTCCTGTTCCACCCCCTCCTCCTCCTCCTGTTCCACCCCCTCCTCCTCTTCTTGCTCCTCCTCCTCCTCCTCCTCCTCCTGTTCCTCCTCCTCCTCCTCCTCTTCCTCCCCCTCCTCCTCTTCTTGCTCCTCCTCCTCCTCCTCCTCCTCCTCCTCCTCTTCCGCCCCCTCCTCCTCTTCTTCCTCCTCCTCCTCCTCCTCCTCCTCCTGTTCCTCCTCCTCCTGTCTCCTGTTCCTCCTCCTCCTCCTCTTCCACCCCCTCCTCCTCTTCTTCCTCCTCCTCCTCCTCCTCCTGTTCCTCCTCCTCCTCTTCCTCCTCCTTCTTTTCTTCCTCCTCTTCTTCCTCCTCCTCCTCCTACTCCCTATCCTATTGTTTCTTTATTTGTTTTTTATTTGTTTTTTATTGATTTATTTATCTTTTTTTTATGTCTTCCTTTTCCCCATTTTTCCCCATCCCTTCTGAGCGTGCGTGCGTGCGTGTGCAGAAAGTATGGAAGAAACTATGTGGAAATTAAACAGAAAAGAGACAAAAGATGAGAAGAAAAGAAGATAAAAATGAAGGGAGACACAAGGGAAAATAGTCTCAAAAACTAAAATTAAGAAAGAAAGAAAACGAAGTGAAGAGAGAAAGAGAGAAAAAAAAGGACAAGAAGAAGAGCAAGAACAGAACCAAGAAGAAACAGAAGAAGAAGAAAAAGGAGGAAAGAAAAGAAAGGGGAAAAAAAAAAGATCAAAACAAAAGCAAAACAATCCCCAGAGAGCGAGAGCATCAAGACCAAGCCCATGGTACGTGGCGCGAGTCCCTCTGGTTGTTTACATTTCCTGTGCAGTCTTAAAAGCAATAAACCAGTTCTCTTGTTTATTGCGTTGGATGTTACGTGGCTTTTCTCCAACCTCCCTTTCTCTGGCTGCGTGAGGACGCTGGTCGTGCGGGGAAAATGGACGCTGGTTGGAGGACATCGACGGTCTGGAAAGAGTGTGGCGGCCGCGGTCGGAAAGGGGCTTGGAAGGGTGGAAAAATAGGTTTGCAATTGACTGCTTTGCAACTGCTCTAAGTGCAGCGAGATGCATGTTGTCAGCGAGTTGCCAGTTTGTATTATTCTACTTGTGCTTGGTAGAAGGGTCGGGGTGTGTGTTTTTTGTTTATTTGTTTTGTTTTTTTTTCTTTAATTTGATATATATTTTCTTTATTCAGTCATTTTTTGGATTTCCATTCTTATATGTTACTTTTGTCTGTGAGAAATACAAATGGACTGCCTAAGTAGAAAATTATGAACATGAAAAGAAAACTAATTATGGGATTTTTTGTCGTGTTGTGATGTTTTGTTTTTTTTTAATTTGCGTTAAGTACTTACAGGTTTGAAATGGAAAACTTTCGTAATTTCGGTCAGAGCAGTGATTTTAAATTAAAAAAAAAAAGAATGCTTATAGATGTAATTCAAATTCCTCCTTTGCCTTTGTACCCCCTACCCGCCTGCGGTTCCTCCTCTCCGGACGGCGCAACGCGTGTTAGAATACCCTCTCCCTCTCCTTTCTCCGTTTCCAGGAGGGGATTTTCCTAGACTCTTCCCCTCCCCCCCTTTCCCTTCCCTCCCTATCCATTCCCCTCTCTATGCGCTCTACTCTCCACTTATTTCCCCTCTTCCCTTCTCTTCTCTTCTCTTCTCTTCTCT